AGGGCCAAGTGGTGGCAGAGTGACCCAACTTGGGGTCACCAAGTTGGCCACCATATTGTGAAATTTTCTGGGTTCCAGTCCCAAGCCTTTGTTGAGCATGCTGGATATGCATGCATTCCTGTGATCTGGGCCAGCTGAAACGGGATGGGTTGCAGCATAACACGTTTGGAATGCCTCTCTCTTTTTCTCTCTCTCTCTCATGTTATTCTCTTTTTCTCATAGAATAAATAAACAAATAAACTTTAAAAAACACACACACACGGGGGCCAGTAAGTAGCATAGTTGTTGAGGAGCTGGGCTCCAATATGGCCAACTGTGATCCGAGTCCCACACCTGGTAGCTTGCTTTCTCACTTTTTCTTTCTCTCTCTAGTCAAATTAAAAAATAATAATAGAGGGGTCAGCAGGCAGTGTGATGGATGAGGGCGCTGGATTCCCACATGGCTGACCATGGTTCAAATTCTGGACCTGGTGGCTTGTTTCTCACTTTCCCTTTCTCTCTCTCTCTCTATCTGGTGGTCAAATAAAAAAAAACTAACAATGACAAATGAAATTAAATAAATAAATAATTCTTTTAAGAAAGATAATAATAGAGGCCAGCAAGTAGCATGGCAATTGAAGCACTGGATTCCCACATGGCCGACTGTGGTTCGAATTCTGAATCTGGTAACTTGTTTTCTCACTTTCCCTCTTTCTCTCTGTCTGATTCTAGTCAAACTGAAATAATAATAATAATAATAGTAATAATAATAAAATTAAATAAACAATTCTTCATCTTTTTTTTTTTTTTTGAGAGGTTTTTGCTATAGGGCACATGCACTCGCCAGACAGATAGAAAGAGACAGAAAGTGAGAAATCAACCCCCCCACCCAGGGGGGACGACCACGTTGGAATCCCTTCTCCACCATTCTCTTCTTGGGATCTTGGGCATGCACATACATGCGCCTGGCGTGAGTTAAGCCACCGGGTCCAGGACTTGAACTGTGGTCAACTACATGGAAGTCCAGCGACATAGCCATCACGCCAACTGCTGGTCCCAAAATAAATAATTCTTTAAAAAAAACTACAGGATCAGCAGATGGCATAGAGGTTAGGGTGGCTGGATCCCACATAGCTGGCTTCTCAGTTCAAGTCCCAAACCTGGAGACTCAAAAAACATGTTGGGAAAATGTGCATGTATGCCCAAAATCCTGAGAGGAGAATGGTGGAGAAGAGATTGTGACATGGTCATCTCTGAGAGGTATTTTCTCACTTTCTCTGTCTCTCTATCTGTCTGTCTTCAGCAAGTGCACACATCCTATAGCAAAAACAAAAACAAAACTAGAAAAAAAGAAGAGGGAGAAGGAGAGAGGAAGGAGAGAAAAAGGGAAAGATACAGAAAATATTTAAATAGTTACACAATAATTGCAAAAGAAAATTAACTGCAAATTAATGTCAATACATTTATAAATCTAAAGAAATTGGATTATTTTATAGCAGATATCAATAACAAAGCAGACTGTAGAGTAAAAAGAAAATATGATGAGACCAAAGAAGAAAATGAAAATATTACCAAAAAAATTATCATTAGAAAGGGTCTAGGCCAAGAGAGTTTAATTGTAGAATTCAACTTAACCTTCAAAAAAATCAACTACATGGGAGTCCAGCGACATAGCCATTATGCCATCTGCTGGTCCCAAGACTTTTTTTTTCTTGGAGAGGTTTTTGCTATAGGGCGCGTGCGCTCACCAGACAGACAGAGAGAGACATAGAGACAGAAAGCGAGAAATCACCCCCCAGGGGGGATGGTCATGCTGCGATCCCTTCTCCTCCATTCTCCTCTCAAGATCTTGGGCATTCACGCACACGTGCCCGGCGTGAGTTCTAAGCCACCGGGTCCGGGGTGCGAACTGCGGTCGACTATGTGGGAGTCCAGCAACATAGCCATTACGCTAACTGCTGGTTCCCGTGGTCCCAAGACTTTTAAAAAATATATAATTATTTGGGGCCAGCAGTTAGCGTAATGACTTTTTTTCTTTATTCACGATAGAACACATGCACATGCGTGTAAGCGTAAGAAATAGAAAGATCTGAGCACCCTCCATGGGGTCTATTCACACTGTGATCCCTCCCTCCAGATCCCTAGCGTGTTGAATCTTGGCAACTTGTGCATGTGTCTGGCACGTTTCAGGTTGATTCCAACAGTGGTCATTATGTGGGATGAGGCTTCTCTCGAGCAATGCATTACTGCTGGCACCCAGCATCTAATATAATCAGCCATTCATGTGGCCAACAGTTATCAGTGATCTCTTGATGCCAACCATCACTCTAGAAAGCAACAGAAAATAAACAAGTCCCTTTTGGCCGGAACTGCCATCTTCCAGTAATTCACCAAAATGACAAACACAAAGGGAACGAGAAGAGG